ATATTAATCCAGAATCAATTTATGAACTCTACCAAGTAAGTTCACCTACAAATAAACAATAGGTCCTTTACAAATAGTACAGTGGAATGCCAGGGGTATTAAGGCTCGTGCTCCATTCTTTATTCCTTACCTTAACTCGCCTCATAAATCCCGATGTTCTTTGTATTCAGGAATCGTTTCTCAAACCCCATATAAAATTTCGCATACACGGTTATAAACCTATTCGAAAAGATCGGGAACACTCAGCAAAGAGGGGTGTACTTACTCTTGTCAAGAACCACTTGCTCTTCACTGTCGTTACTTGCCCAGAAAGTATAGAAGCTGTTGGGGTCCAATGTGAGACTTCTATGAGCAGAGTCACGATATTTAATATTTATAATCCTGGTGTCGACATTGATCCTGCTGAGTATCGAGAGTTTTTCTTCCAAACAGTATCATTTGTGGAGATGTTAATGCTCACAACCCTTTATGGGGTGGAACAAAATTAGACCGTCGAGGTCAGATTCTTGGTGATCTAGTTATGGAATCTGATAACGTGGTGTTAAATGATGGTCGTGGGACATGTATTGTTTGAGGTAATCTCTCTGCTCTGAATCTAACAATTGTAGATAGTAAACTTGCTAGTCTTGCTACCTGGGATGTTATAGATGATGACCTGGGAAATGATCATCTCCCGGTAATTACATCTGTTAAAGTCCCTTTTGAAGTTAAGAGTCCGACGACCTTCTGGAACTTTAGCAAAGCAAACTGGTCCAACTTCTGTACGTTCCTCGATTCATCCATTCAAAACATAAATATGTCTTCTTCTGTCGAATCTGTATATTCCCGTCTGGTAAATATTATTTTGGAAGGAGCAGATAATTTATCCCACAATCAACCACAGACTGTGGCAAACATCAAACCCCTTATTGGAATATGGAATGTGAGAAAGCAGTTAAACTAAAAAAACAAGAGTAGGAAGAAAGCTTTTAAACCACGTCTCTTAGACGATTATATTGAATATAAAAAGCAGAAGGCCATTTGTCAATGAACGATCTGAGCACTCCAACAACAATTCTGGCATGAGTACTGCTCTCGTTTAAACCATTCGTCAGATTTAAGTAAAATATGGAAATTCGTGAAGTGTATGAAGGGTGGGAGTTCTATCCCTATTCCTATGCTTAAAACTTCTAGATCAGCATATTTGGCAGATGTCGAAAAGGCGAATGCACTGCCTGATCAATCTGACCACATCAGCAGTTCTGGCAGTTATTCAAACGAATTTTCGAAATATAAGAAATTATTTGAACATGACAATTCCGCCACTATTACGAAGAAGCCAAATAATAGTAATGCATTGAATGCTAAATTCAATATTGGTGAAATTAAACAAGCAATAAAGATGTCTAAAAACTCGGCCCCTGGTGACGATAGAATTCCTTATAAAATCTATAAAAAATCTTTCTGTAAATTTTTTGGTAAAACTGCTGGCATTTTTCAATAAGATATGGAATGAAGGAATCCTCCCTTCAGCCTGGAAGCACGCAATAGTTTGCCCAATCCCTAAGTGAGATAAGGATCTGAGCTCTGTTACATCCTATCGACCAATTGCTCTTACTTCTACTATGTGTAAAATTATGGAATGAATGGTTTCCAACCGTTTGCATTGGTATTGTGAAGAACATAGACTTTTCGACAAGTTTCAGTCTGGTTTCCATTGGAAGAAGTCTACGCTTGATCATCTGTTATGGCTACATGAAGATGTTAACAAATCATTATGCAACAGAGGTAAGGCAGTGTCTGTGTTCTTGGATATTGAAAGAGCATACGATATGGTCTGGAAAAAAGGATTGTTATATAAACTCAATAGTTACGGTTTTGATGGCCAACTCTTCAACTGGATTAAAGAATTTCTTTTAAACAGATCCTTTAAGGTCACAGTCAATAGAGTCGTCTCTGGGGAAAGTCTCAGAAAATGGCACTCCCCAGGGTAGTGTTATTAGCCCTATTTTGTTCCTTCTCATGATTAATGACGTTAGTTCTTCCTTTATTACTAATGACACGAATTATAGTATTTTTGCTGATGATTTAGCCCTCTGGAAAACTGGTCGTAATATTAATCATATTCAAACCTGCCTTCAAACAAATCTGGATAATTTAGCCGATTGATTTTTTAAACAGGGCTTTACCGTTTCAGACCGAAAGTCTGTAGTTCTCCCTTTTTTTCGTACTTCAAACACAGTGAAATTATTTTTTTAATAACCACCAACTAGCCTCCGTCACCCAATACAAATGTCTTGGAGTTATCTTTGATTCCAGGTTAAGTTGGACGCATCATATCACCTATGTCTCACAACAATGTGCTAAACGACTCAATTTGCTTAAATGTGTGTCCGGCACACGTTGGGGAGCGTCCAAAAAGACTATTACTTGTGTGTGTTAATACGATCTGTTATTGACTATGGCAGTATCATGTATGACTCTGCGAGTTACTCAGTCTTTAAACAATTGGAAGTTATTCAAAATCGATGCTTGCGATTATGTTGTGGAGCATTGAAACACACCCCTATATCAGCCATGGAAGTAGATGGGGGTGTCATACCCCTTGACTTACAGAGACGGAAGATGCAACTTAAATTTTTAGCAAAGTCTAAGTACTACGATTATCCCGTTAATTTCTTTTAAAAGGATTGAAAAGATTATTACGAAACCTTTCAACAAAATAACTCTCCAATGTCAGTTAAAATTGCAGACGTTTTCTCGTCCGTGAACCTCCAGAACGTTGCTAACTCCCAGTATTTTCCTCCTTGGGAGATTCCAACCCCTGATGTCGACGTCACTCTACATTATGTTGGGAAAAAAATGGGAGCAATGTTACTTGCTTTTCTCCTTGGCTAAAGAAAACTAGCAGGCTTCTCTGACTATACATGTATATTTACGGATGGCTCCAAGTCTACCAGTTTTAATTCCTCGGCATTTTATATCAAAAAATCACAACATCAGAAAAGCATTTAAAACTGCACTTGTATATAAGGCTGAACTGTTTGCTATCCTACAAGCACTTTAATGGCTAGAAGATTCAGATGTTACGAAAGCTCTGATAGTTAGTGACTCATTAAGTTCGTTAATTTCGATTAAAAACGATTATTTTTCATATAGTCCAATGTTACTGAGTGAAGTATTTACATGCCTTGTCCGTTTATGCTCCCATATTGTCATCAAATTTCTCTAGGTCCCTAGCCATGTGGGACTCCAGGGAAATGAGGTTGTTGATCATCTTGCCAAGGATGCGTTAACATATTCTGGGGTCACAAACGTTTCGGTTGAAACTGGTGACCTCTATGGCCAAGTCGATAAATTCATTTTAGATTCCTGGCAGTACAGATGGAATTCAGTGAAACAATCAAAGATATAAAATAAAATTGTTCCTGTTGTTTCTTCTCACATAAAGTATGCATGTACGAATAGACACCAAGAAGTTATCATAACACGCCTCAGTTTTAATTGCACAGGTCTAAATGGACATCTCTACAAAATTAAAGCGCATCCCAATGGTGAATGCAGCCATTGCTGAAATTTTGAAGATCCGGAACACATTATCATGGATTGCATATATTACCGAAGAGATCGAGCAGCCATAAAACAACAGATGTGTAACGTTAAAGTCCCTCTTACCTACCTCTCTCTATTAACTACTGATTGTCT